GACCATTCATCAGCTGGCAATGGAGCAACATTTCTGTTGGGCCAAACACCTTGAGAGTCAACAAAGCTGCCAAAGCCCAATTTGCCACACCAATCATTTAAAGGAAATCCCTTTTTAGCTACAAGATTTTAGTTTAATAATTTAATTGCTCAATATTAGTGCAGAACATCTGCACACACTGATGGATAGCGCAGCGTCTGTTTGTTTACAGGATAGTGCTATGGCCTGCAAAAGCAAAATGCATTAACTATTGTACACATGCCAAAAATAGGTTATGGCTGAAATCAGATCTCTTAAACCAAGGGTTTTCAAATAAGGGTCCAGGGAGAGAACACAGAAGGAGGTGTTTGAGGGTCCACAGCAAATTTGAGAGAGAAAAAATATACTATAAAATTATAATTTTTGAGGCTGCGAAAGAAAAAAAGTTAATTTTAGCTTATTAATTAATTAAATATATGAATTAAATACATTTAATACTAGGGATGCACCAATACCACTGATACCCATACTTTCATTTTTGGTACATCTACCCAATATTTTACACATATTGGGTAGAGAAACCAAAAGATATGAATCATATTTTACGTAATCATTACGTAAACTACGTTGGAAAGGTCACGCTGGAAGTACCGCCCCATTGTTTACAAGCGTGGAGAAGGAGGATCCGCCTACGTCCAGCATGACCTTTCCAACGTGATTACGTAATGCCTGGCGCGTCGCAGACAAGCACATGAACAATGGTTAAAAAGTATATACACTACCGTTCAAAAGTTTGGGGTCGGTACGATTTTAAATACTTTTAAAAGAATTCTCTTCTGCTAACCATGGCTGCGCTTATTTGATTAAAAATACAACAAAAATCAGTTATAGTATTAAATATTATTCCAGTGTAAATCAGCTGTTTTCTGTGTGAATATATAGTAAAGTGTAATTTATTCCTGTGATCAAAGCTGAATTTTCAGCATCACCAGTGTCTTCAGTGTCAAATGATCCTTCACAAATCAGTATAATATGAGGATTTGATGCTCAAGAAACATTTATTATTATTATCAATGTTGAAACAGTTGTTGGTCTGTCAGTTGTACAGTTTTTTTTTTTTTTGATGAATAGGAAGTTCAAAAGAACAGCATTTGTTTGAAATAGAATCTTTTGTAACATTATAAATGTCTTTACTGTCCTTGATAAATAAAAGTATTGATTTCTTTCCTCCAAAAAATAAAAATAAAATTCTCACTGACCCCAAACTTTTGAACGGTAGTACATTTTTACTTTTTTTTTTTTAAATGACCGATCGTTTCACTAGGTAAGACAGAGCCCTTTGAAGCACTTCAAAGCCCTTTGAAACTGCATTGATTTAATTTTGGACTTCAACAATTTGGTTACCGTTGAAGTCCATTGTGTGGAGAAAAATCCTGAAATATTTTCCTCAAAAAACTTAATTTCTTTTCCACCGAAGAAAGAAAGACATGAACATCTTGGATGGCATTAGGGTGAGTAAATTATCAGGATATTTTCATTTGAGGTGAACTAATCCTTTAATTATGCCTGTAAAAATGATTGTATGAACATGTTACTGTTCTTTTCTGTTCACTGTTCATTCTATTGGTCTTTCGTATTTCACAACGCACATTTAGAGCCGCTACAGTGTAGAGTGTTCCTAAACACAAAAAAAAACACTGTACTTTACACATGCTGCATGGTCTCGGTATTTGGTATCGGAGCATTTTAATGAGTACGAGTACACGAGTGCAGTTTCAGGTATCGGCGCATCCCTATCTACAGTATTTTTTATTAAATTTACTAAACTAGTTTACTACATTTAATTTACATATCCCCAGTGGCCATCAAGTGGACCGAGACCGATGAAAAGATGGGTCTCGGTCCGATTCCAAACCAACTCTGGTGCAGTTCGACTGAAATATGAATGCAACACGGACCAAAGATATCTAAATGAACCAAAAACAAGATCCGATGTCACAAGATGCGACCCTAAAAAAGGACAAAATGCTCAAGGACATATACCGGATTTTTCTCATCATAGTCGCGATGTTGCCCATTAACGTTTGGTATAACACAGTCTCATCCCAAGACGTCATCTATCTGACGCTTTTGACCATACGTCAACATCCGACGTTTTAGGGTACCCTTTAACGTCAGTTAGATGACGATCCTAGGGCGTCATCTAACTGACGCTTTACCTTTAGCGTCGGTTAGATGACGCGGGTAGGTTTAGGTCTGGGGTAGGGTTAGGATTAGATAGCGTCATCTAACTGACGTTAAAGGGTACCCTAAAACGTCGGATGTTGACGTATGGTCAAAAGCGTCAGACAGATGACGTCTTGGGATGAGACTGGGCTGTTCGGTACAGGCATTGGAATCATGTATTTTTGCAGCAGATCTTCATTTGTGTGTGTGACGGAGGGACTCCTGCCGCAGTTTTGACTCCTTTACACATATAACAATCTCTTTGTGAGATCTCAGCTGAAAAAAAAAAATCATTATATGCATGCACATACAGTACAATGACCGGCTATAGCCCAGCATGCAGCATTGTTTTGGGTATCAGGTCAATTCCATCACAAAATATGCGTCATAAAAGCAGTTTTTTGTTTTTGTTTTGTATCTTTAGATTCGTGTTTAATATGACAGTGTGAACGCTAAGCGAACCAGGACTAAATGTATCATTTTCTTTTTTGGTCCGGACCAACAGATCCAAGTGTAAACACACCCTAAAATGAAAATGCAGTGAGACATGTTTTTTTTTTCCCCTTTCCTATTTTAATGTTAGGTTTACACATCTACTATTACTCTGGTAGTGGGCAGAACTAATTATAATACAAGAATAATATAATAAAATGTAATACAAAGTATATAGAAAAGATAATATATTAAGAATTTGCTTTGGCTTTAGTATAGTGACAATATAAAAACCAATCACTTAATTTTGGAAGGTTGGAAGGAAGGAAGGTTGGGTGTTTGGAGGAAGATTGAAAGGAAGTACGTTTGGAAGGAAAGTAGGAAGAAATGAAGGAAGGAAGGAATATTTTACAAAGTATTAAATCCAAAGGATTATCAATAATGTCAAAACCCCCTGGCTTAGACCATGATCTGTCCTGTAACAGACAGATTTGGATCAACAAAGCTTCGATCAGAGAAAACTGTTCATCCCAAATACGAGGAACTAAATGTGCTTAAGTTGATTCCTCTTACAGGTTTCAATCTGTGTTTTACAGTCATTCCCAATGTTAACTTTCTTTGGCATATTCATATCCTGCCATATGGACAATCTTTCTAAGCTCAAAAAAGATCCAATCAGCAGTAAACAAATCAGACAGTGCAGACACATCTCTCTATAAAATAATAGTGATGGATGGAGAAGCATGATTGATAATTATAGTTGGTGTTCAGGTGAACCAACAGGAATGAAGGGAGGAGAATTGAAGCTTTTTGATCTCATTTTAGAAGCTGTCATGTGTAAATGTGCTGCCGCGCCGTGCCAGACCCAGAGCGGAGGGACTGCAGTTCTTACTTCTTTTAGCTGTTTTTGAAGATGTGTGAGTCTGATAAAGCTATCAGCCATGCAATCCCTCAGCCTCTACAGACAGGCAGGTTGATACCGCCAGACATTGCCGTCTATCTCAGCTGCCGGTTTTCCTTTGCATACTTGCCTCTCTGAGCCGCTGTACATGTTCTTATCTCTGACTTCCTGCCAATGGTCCGATCGGACAGATGGCTGGCTGAAGAGGGCACCGGGGTGGGTTAGTGTCCATCAGAGGGGAGAAATTAATGTGTGTGTGGTGGCACATGCAACTTTTGATCAAAAATTTAAAAAGCCCTTATGGCAAAAGATGAAGATTGAAGGTCACAGCACCCTCCCACTCCATCAAAGTGAAATCGAAGAACGATTTGGTGTGACGTCCTTTCGAACAAAATCAGGCCAAAACGAAGTTTATTTAGTGTCGTTTTGGGAGTTCAAAACAGCTTGCCAAAGCTAAATTTCTGGACTTTTCAGATGGTAAACACTTTTAAACTACCAATGGTCCATGGCGATTATGTAACAGGTAGGTGTGCTCTGAGGCTCCGCCTTCTTTGATGTGGAAATCTCTCGATTAATTTCTTCTGTTCAGTCTGTCGAGGTCAGATGTGAGTAAAAACATGAACACACTGGAGAGCCACTTTATAGTATAAACTAAACTTGTAATTTTAATTGAAAGAGTCACTAACACTGTTTTTTTTTCATGTTTAATACTGTAAAGATGCTTGCTTTAAAGCAATGTATTGTATAAAATGCTATATAAATATAATGACTTGATTGTACTTTGTATATTAGATTCCTTTATCTGACATCTTTGGACCGAGAGAAATCATGAAAACTTGATTTTCTGACTTTCTTCTTCTGACTACCCAACGCAAGATGGCAGCGATAACTCTAGCAAACTTTTTAATGGCTTTGCCAACAAGTTTAGATGGACAAGCTATGGCTCGCATTTGACATTTATCTCAGTTGCATTGTGAGGCCCAATGCTTTTCCTAGAAGATGCAGTTATGACTTGAAGTGAATTTTAAATAAGTGATATGTGCGATGAATTTTTTATTCATTCTTACATCAAAACTGTACTGACATTTTGCCTTAACACTCTGAGAGTTTAAAGCCAATGGAAGATGTTCACACTAATCTGGGCAGCCAATTATTTCTTCTTTTATGCAGACCATCCCTATGTTAATGTTCTTTCGTTTTCCAATTAAACAAGATTAAACATAAAAGCATATCAGGATATATGTCCATCCTGATTTATTTAAAGGGTCGTCTTTATGCATGCATAGTGAAACAAGTTCTCAAAATCCTTTCTAGTGCTGGTCTCTCAGCAGAAACAAATTCAAAGGCCTTTGTAAATCAGTGTCAGTGTCCAATACACCAGGGAGAGTGAGAAGATCTGAAGATCTATTTTTATGGTACTTTGGTATTCTCAGTTTTGTTGTCTGTAAATTTCTGAACTTGCCTCCAAAGTGGTACGTGCTTCCCGTTGTGATCTGGACAGGCGAGTTGGTTCTCACAGCCGATGCTTCATCCCCATCAATGGTCAGCAAAGCAAAGTTCTCTTTGGCCAGGAAACGAACATCATGCCATTCTCCATCATTTAGTCCAGAACCTGTAAGAAAAGATGAACAACTATAAATTAACATCCAAAACAATGTTGCAACCTTTTCACTGTTGACTTTGTCAAGTAAAAATACATCATTTCCACACACCTTGATTGCAAACATCTTAATATGTTTTTTAACCGAATTATCCTTTATCAATTATGTCAGATAATTATATTGACAGATAATGTCAATTATCTGATATTTTAAGCGACTTATTAACCCAGTTATGAGAGTTCCCTTTCGAGGGAACTCTAGATGCGTCACTTGACGCCTTGGGAACGCCCCCAGCGTGCATGCGTCTGAGCATCAATGTCAACTAGTCCAATGGAAAGAATGAGCGTCACGGGCGGGTGACGTCATGACCAGGAAGGGATAAAGGCTCACCCGGTGAAACGCGGCATTAGCTTCTGTGTCTCAGCAAAAGCGATCTGTGTCATTTTGTCTCTGTCTATTTACTGTTGTCTGTTGCGGAAAAGGATGGAAACTAAACAAGTGTACAAACAGTGTGCTTCTCCCTGCCCGCGTTATTTAACGGGTGGGGACACACACGAGCTTTGTGTCGTTTGTTTGGGAGTGGAGCATGCGGTCTCAGCCTTCGAGGGGGCTGAGTGCCAGCATTGTGAGATGTTACCGCTTCGCATGCTCCGCTCTCGCCTGTCACTCTTTGATAAAGAGAGTGGGCAGGCTCGCGATCCGCAGGGATCAGGACCCGCGTCTGCTGAGGCAGCGCGGAGATTGCATTCCTGGGGATCGCAAAAGGAACTTTCGGAGGGGTTGGAGACGGGTCCAAGGGCTCTTTCTCCTTCCTTACCCGAGAGATCCAACGCTCTCCCCCCGGTGTCGGAAGCACCCTCTGCGGTTTCTTCCGCCCGGGGAGAGAGCCCTCCATTACTTTATTGCTCTTCCTCCGAGGAGGTTGATGCGATGAGTTTGGAGAGTGAAAGCACACACATGGGGGAAAGAGATTCACAATTTATTTCCCCAGCATATGATGAGCTGGTGGATGTTATGTCGCGGGCTGTAGAGAAATTAAATATTGAATGGCCATCTGAGAAGAAGGGCGCTCGTCCTAAAAGCAAATTAGATGAGCGCTTTTTATCTTCCACCACATTATCTCCACCACGAGGGCTTCCATTTTTTCCCGATTTGCACAATGAAATATCTAAATCGTGGAATAAACCTTACTCATCACGTCTTTTCAGCCCTCAAGTTAACACTTATTCGAGAATAAGAGGGCTGAAAGAGTATGGTTATGAGGCGATGCCCCAGGCGGAAGAGAATTTAGCCAGTTATCTTTCCCCTGGTCCCGCATCGTCTCTGAAAGCCTCGGCTTTGCCCACTAGACCGCTCAAAGCCACTTCGGTGTTAGTGGGTAAAGCTTATACGGCAGCAGGTCAAGCTGGAGCATGTCTGCATACTATGGCAGTGCTCCAGGCTTATCAAGCTGACCTGCTGGGGGATCTGGATAGTAGTGAGGGAGTCAGTCATGACGATATTCGTGAACTTCGTCGGGCTACCGATCTTTCTCTCAGGGCTACTAAGGAGACCGCCAGAGCAATTGGGCGGTCTATGGCAGCCTTGGTAGCTACTGAGAGACATTTATGGTTAAATCTGTCTGAAATTAAAGAAAAAGATCGAGCTTTTTTATTAGATGCTCCGCTTGAACCTTCTGGTCTCTTCGGCGACGCAGTCCACGCGGTCGTCGAGAGATTTCAGGAGTCAAAGAAACAAGCTGACGTTTTTAAAAAGTTTATCCCTCGCCGGGTCCAGCCCCCTGGGGCTGCTGGGCGTGAGCAGCCCCAGCCGTCGAGCTCATCATATCGTGTGCATCAGAAAGAGAGTGTCGAGAGGCTGGTTCCCTTAGTAAATTTTCTGGCAGCGTGGAAGCTTCTGCCGAATATTTCTCGTTGGGTCCTGCAGATTGTAGAGAAAGGATACAGAATCCAGTTTGGTTCTCGTCCTCCTCGTTACAACGGGGTGCTGCCCACAGTGGTGCATCCCGAGCAGGCTCTGGTAATGGAGCAAGAGGTAAAGGCCCTGTTAGCAAAGGAAGCTATAGAACAGGTGTACTCACCCGACAGAGAGTCGGGTTTTTACAGCCGTTATTTCATTGTTCCAAAAAAGGATGGAGGGTTGCGTCCCATTTTAGATCTTCGTCTGTTAAATCGTTCAGTACAGAAACTCAAGTTCAAGATGCTGACACTCAAGCAGATCGTGACTCAAATCAGATCCGAGGACTGGTTTGTCACGATAGATCTGAAGGACGCTTACTTCCATGTCTCCATCCTCCCTCAGCACAGGAAGTTCCTAAGGTTTTCTTTCGGGGGCAAAGAATACCAATATCGGGTTCTTCCTTTCGGTCTAGCTTTATCACCCCGCACGTTCACGAAATGCGTGGATGCAGCTCTAGCCCCTCTCAGGCTTCAGGGCATACGTATTCTGAACTACATCGACGACTGGCTGATTCTAGCGGAATCAGAGCAGTTGGCGGTTCGGCACCGAGGTGTCGTTCTCGCTCATATGCAGATGTTGGGGTTGAGGCTCAATGCCAAGAAAAGTGTGCTTTCTCCAGTACAGAGAACCACTTTCCTTGGTGTGGTATGGGATTCAGTGACGATGCGGGCCACTCTATCGCCCGTTCGTGTAGCTGCTATCCTGACAGCCACCAAAGAGCTAAAGCTAGGCCAGTCACGCACTGTAAAACAGTTCGAGAGACTGTTGGGTCTTTTGGCGGCAGCGTCCAACGTGATTCCTTTTGGCCTGCTGTACATGAGACCTTTGCAGTGGTGGCTCAGGACCAGAGGGTTCTCCCCGAGGGGAAACCCACTTCGTATGATCAAGATCACGCGGCGATGCCTTCGTGCCTTGGTTATATGGAGAAAACACTGGTTCTTTAAACCAGGGTCCGGTGTTGGGAGCTCTCTGCCATCGAGTTACGATCTCGACAGATGCTTCCCTCACCGGCTGGGGAGCGGTAATGGAAGGCCGCTCGGTTCAGGGTCGGTGGAGGAGTCATCATCTTTCTTGGCACATAAATTGCCTGGAGATGATGGCCGTCTTCAATGCGTTGAAGCAATTCCTCCCAGACCTGAGGGGCCATCATGTGCTCGTCCGTACAGACAACACATCGGTGGTCTCTTATCTGAACCGTCAGGGGGGTCTGCGGTCGCGTCCGCTTTGCAAGCTGGCGCACCAGATCCTCCTGTGGTCTCTGGGGAAGGTACTCTCCCTGAGGGCAGTGTATATTCCTGGGGACCAGAATATTGGGGCAGACATCCTGTCGAGGCAGGAGCTGAGGCCAGGGGACTGGAGACTCCACCCCGAGGCGGTGGAGAAAATTTGGGAGTTTTACGGCCAAGCAGAGGTGGATCTGTTTGCGTCTCAGCATACGACGCACTGTCCACTTTGGTTCTCCCTTACTCACCCAGCCCCCCTGGGGCTGGATGCTATGGTGCAGACGTGGCCGAGGCTACGTCTGTACGCATTTCCCCCTGTTGCTTTGCTCCCAGGAGTTCTGGAACGAGTCCGCCAGTACGGAATAAGCCTACTGCTAGTAGCACCACGCTGGCCGAGTCGGATCTGGTTTGCGGACCTGATCCATCTCTTAGACGGTCCTCCCTTGGAGATCCCGATCAGGAGAGACCTTCTGTCTCAGGCCGGGGGCACAATATTTCACCCTCGACCAGAAATTTGGAACCTGTGGGTTTGGCCTCTGAGGTGGCCCAACTCATAGAGAGTGGTCTCTCAGCTGAGGCTGCTGAGACCATTCTAAGCTCCAGAGCTCCAGCTACTAGGAAACTATATGCGCTTAAATGGAGAGTTTTTTCTGTATGGTGTCACCGACATCAGTGGGATCCAGTTAACTGTTCTGTGAACACAGTACTCGAGTTCCTGCAGGAGCGCTTTACGTCAGGTCTATGTCCTTCCACGCTCAAGGTCTACGTGGCGGCCATTGCGGCTTACCACGCCCTGGTGGGGGGTACATCGTTGGGTCGAGACCCCCTGATTACACGTTTCCTTCGTGGCACTTTGAGGCTAAGGCCTGCAACTCGCACTAGGGTGCCAGCTTGGGATCTTGCTTTAGTACTAGAAGGCCTGTCTAGGGCTCCATTCGAGCCCTTAGATTCGGTTTCAGAGAAGTTTCTTACCTTTAAGACTATCTTTCTGCTAGCTATTTCGTCCCTTAAGAGAGTTGGAGACCTTCAGGCCCTTTCGGTTTCCCCCACTTGCCTTGAGTTTGCACCGGGGATGGTCAAGGCATTCTTATATCCAAAACAGGGATACGTCCCTAAGGTGCCGACCTTGACTCCGAGGCCTATTGTGCTGCAGGCTTTCTGTCCTCCTCCTTTTACATCTGCGGACCTTGTGTCCAGTGCGAGCACTGGATACTTATGTTCATCGGACATCGTCAATGAGGAAGTCCGACCAGTTATTTATTTGCTTTGGATCACCTAAGAAGGGTCTTCCTGCTTCTAAACAGACGGTTAGTAAGTGGATAGTTGAGGCTATTTCACTTGCATACGAGTACTCTGACCTGCCGTGTCCTTTGGCGGTCAGAGCTCATTCTACGAGGGGTATGGCGGCCTCTAAAGCCTTACTATTTGGAGTTTCTCTTCAAGACGTTTGTGATGCGGCAGGCTGGTCCTCACCGCTCACATTCGTTAGGTTTTACAGCTTAGACCTGGATGCTGCCCCAGGTTCTCAGGTGCTTAGTGCTTAGTTTCAACAGACTGACACTCAGGTACTTGGAATTCTGGCGTTTTGGGTATTCTCGTTCCCAAGGCGTCAAGTGACGCATCGAGAGTTCCCTCGAAAGGGAACGTCTCAGGTTACGACTGTAACCGTAGTTCCCTGAGAAAGGGAACGAGACGATGCGTCACCCTGCCATACTTCCTGCTTCCCTGTGATCGGCTTGCTTCGACTTTTTGAAGCTAATGCCGCGTTTCACCGGGTGAGCCTTTATCCCTTCCTGGTCATGACGTCACCCGCCCGTGACGCTCATTCT